CACCCCAAAACTGATCTTGCAAGTCTTGCTGGATCAGCTTAGGACAACCAACACTTTGACACTTTTGGGGGGACAAGGGGTGAAAGGGGGTCAGAAACCAGAGATTCCCCTACACCCATCTGTCCTTCTCCAGTTAAATCTGCTCCAAAAACCTGTTTGTCTGAGGGTAAGAAGGGGAAAATGTTGCTTTGCACTTTTTAAATCTGTTTGAAATGACACCATGAAAGATTCAGGGACCCAAATCCACTCTTGTAGTAGTTTAACAAAAATGAGCAATTTCAGTGAATTGCACTGGAGATCCAATGGTGTGGTGGGAGAATTAGCCTCTCTGGAAAAATCCAATTTCACCCAGCTGGAAGAAAAAAGTTTTACAGGAACTTCCCAATGTTTTATAGAGTTCAGTGCCTCTTATCTAGGGTTTTCCAAGCCTGTGTATGGAGTAGCACAGACAGAAGCTCCTACTCCATGAGTTAATTCAACTCCAACACACATCTATCACCCCATCAGAAAACTCAGGTGAAGCACTTGAGAGGAGTTTGAGGGTTTGACAGCTCTACCAGATGCTACTTGTTTCATCCTCCTCAACCTCCATTGGATTTTTCCAAGCTGAAGCTTTTCCCCCCATTCTTCAATGCTAAGGCAAACATCAAAAAATGCTGGAACTACACACACCCTCACCCAAAACACACACAAGGTGGTGGGGAGGGGGAGAAGAAAAATAACCCACATATGTTTTACCACCCTAGGTCAAAAGGCCAAGAAGACAAGTTCTCCTGATTTCAGAGTGTTAGTATATTTTATACACTGCCTATACGTTTAACACATGTGCCTCGCTACTATTTATTTATCATTTGTTTTAACCACAGGAGAATAAACCTCGCTATTTACAATATAGAACAGGCAAGTAATATATCCACATTACCATAAATACAATTTGTGTGGGTTTTTTTGGTGGTGTTTTTATTTTTTTGTGGTGGTTTTGTCTTTTTTTTTTTGTCTTTTTTTTTTTTGTCTGTTTGTTTTAAATACTTACAGAAAGCATCCAGGCTTCAGTGCGTGAGTTACAATACACAGAAGAGCTCCTTCACTCAGTAGTTCATTCACTCTTTACTGCTTTCTTCTAGTCAAGCTTGGACAACCTGCCTTCTTGCCCACCCATCTTGTCTCCTCCACACTGCCAGACACACCAAGCTTCCCTATTCCATCCAACCCTGGCATCTTCTCTGCAAGGATATCTATGCCAACACTACCCTCTCTTCTGCATCTAGGGACTCATTCTCCTCTCACACCAGTGCAATGTGGAGTTACTCCAGCGAGGTCAACGGAGACAGAGACACCAGTGAAAAGAAGGAAAATGAGGCCCATGGTTTAAATATAACAATAATAATAATAATGCACATAAATTGCAGCCCATCCTTTAATTAAGAAGACATTTTCTTGTAAAAAAAAGAATGGAGCCAGAAATAGTAATTCAGATCCAAAAGTCCTCATGGTTTGAACAGGTTTGGATCTGGCTTTGGAGGGGAAGAGCTATTCTAGCACACACACAAAAATGTAACAGTGAGTTTGCACATGTGTGTGAGAGAGAGACAGAGGGAGAAAGAATTTAACATAATACCACATTGAAACCATAAGAGGGTCCTTCTGAAGGGTTTTACAATAAATAAATGTTCATTCAATATTTATATATATATATTTATGTGTTGGCCTGTGTGTATTTATATACACACAGGCACACACTGAATAATAGGTTTCTAATCAGTTTATTTTTTAAACCATTAGCTAAACTGCTCGTGGGTGATTTTCAAAGCTCTGCAGCTCCCAAAAGCTGTGAGACCTTCCCGTGTCCAACACACCACCACAGGGTGGAAGGTGTGGATTCCACCTCCTCCAGCACTACCCCAACCTCCAGAATTGTACAGCAAATAAGCAAACATCAAAAAAAAGACAGTACACACTTCACTTTGCAGGACCACGGTGCTATTAACAGTAACATCCTGTCCCTCCCCATGCCTCCACCTTGAGATTTGATGCCAATGAGCCAGGCTGGACTGCAGGTCGTTGTTAACAAGAACTGTATCTTTTCTCCACCCAGTAGATGCACATTGAACACCTTAAATATTAGTGGCTAAAAATTTTTTTGGGGAAAAAAAAAAAGAAAAGAAAAACAAGGAAAAGACCTTGAAAATGATCCATTGTGTAAAATTACTCTGGTTTTGCACTGCCAATATCTACTACTGGTTGAAAAACTCTCTTGAGAACATCAATGGTTTATATAACCTTAGTGTGAATTGCTACTACTGGACAAACAAAAATTGCTTCCAAAACATCAAATAAAACACCCTCTGCTCTCCAGTGTTTCCTCAGAAAGCTTCATTGCTTCATTGAGGCATTCACTGGCTGCTTCCATTCCACTTTTCCTATGAAAGAAGAATATTGGTGCATCAAGTCCTGGATTGTAAGTCTCCTTTTCCAAGGAAAAAAGAAATGCTAAAGGTTGCCATCTGTTTCACAGCACTGGAGTGATCTAGCACTGCAGTCAAATTTCTGGCTTCTCTGGTCACTTGATAGTTTGTCTCTGTGTTGACTGGTTATTTCAAATCCAAGAGTTGGTTACCATTTGTATTTTTAAAATACAGTTCTCAATCTAGTGGTTAAAAAAAAATCTTAAGGTCATAGGGTTTACATACAGCTTGTGTCATGTACCACTGCCATAGTTTAGAGTAAATGGAATGATGACCTAGTAAAAGAGAAGTCAACTCCTCCAGGGGTTTGATCCAGGCCAAAACAGCTGCTGAACAATGCAAGACAGCACTGGGCTCCAAGATGCACTCAGATTTCTCTTGTCCTACTCAGAAATACATGTTCAAATTCCTATGGCATAAGACTAAAAAGTTCCAGTTCAGATTTCTGAAGCAGTTACCACAGGGTGAATTTGATCAGCAAGAGGTGGGAAGACGAGAGAAAAATGAATCATGCACAAAAAGAAACCAAAAGTATCTAGTGGTTCTTTTTTTCAAAAAAAAAAAAAAAGGCATTAAAGACAACAATAGTGCTAAAGAACTGCATTGGGAGAGGTTCTTTTAAATAGAAAATATGTGATTGGACTGAAGAGGACAGGCACACCTGGTTTTCTACTGTCTTCCCAACCTCTTTGTTGGATGTATTTGCCTGCAATATGGTGGACCCAACATTTTTGAGCTGTATCTTGTGACAGTGCAATGTGGATATGGAGCTGTCATTAAAGAGCTGACTCTCCCAGTGGGTCTCTTTGTCAGAGCCTTGTTTGCTCGATGTGCAGAAACTCCACTAGAAGAACCATCAAGGACCATCACTACCATACACACCTCTCTCCAGTTTTAGAAGTAAATGACCACTTCCTCTACCATTGCATTCAAAGCAGAAAGATCTTTCTTTCCTATCTGCTTAGCTCTCTAAGCAGTTGGGTAAGCTTCAGGAATAAAGTAGTATGGATTATTTATGCCAAAGAGAATATATCAGCCCAGGAGTTCATGGAGGATTGGTGCAATGAGCAAGATGTTCCAAGGATAAATGATCCATCAAACTGTGTAGATGACTAAGGTGAAGGTCAACTGGTGTCTAACCCCAGTGTGACAGGCACTTATTTCCACATGGTTGGACCTCATTAAAGTTCAGTCTACGGGAAAACAAAAAAAACAACAACAAAACAGCAACACAGCTGGGTCACCTGTACCCTACAAAGTGCTTATGTCTCGACATAGCTTTCAGATCCCAAAAGGTCAATCAAACCCTGTTTGTCTCCATATGTAGTTCTCATAGATCACCATCGCCCATCACCAAGGGTTGCCATCAAGCAGAAGACATCAGTCTTTGCAGGTGTAAACCTCTTCTCTCTGGGTGCATTGCTTGCATTCCACATAGCAGCACCACCTGACCTGGCACTGGCATGGCCGTGTGACCACACGGCTCTGCGTGTTGTGCCCTCGCCCACAGCAGATGCTGTCACAGTTCTTGTCTTTGTAACATTTCCTTCCCGAGGTCCCAGGGGAGTAGCGACTCATCATACAGAAGCTTGGGGAATCGTCAATGTAGACAAGATCCGTAGTCCTTGGGATTTGATCACTGTGACCAGGGATGGATTTCTTGGGTGGGGAGATGTCTCCTTCCCCTGTGGCCTCGTTGGTAGTGCTGCCCACTTTGAGCGATGTCTCATACTTCTGCTTCAGCTGCTTCCCTATTTCATGAAATGGAGAGAGCTGCCTCCAGCACGTTCGGACAGTACAGGATCCAGATACCCCATGGCATTTACAGGTTGTCTCCACTCCAGCCTTGATGACCTGCAGACACACAAGGCCCCAAAAGAAAATCAATTTTGGGGGAAGAAATCAAGACACTGAACAAAAATTGCTAAACACCTTTCTGGAACGCAAAGTTGATGACAATTCAAAGAACTATCTGTTGAAAGAGGACAGAACACATATACTACAGGAAATACTTGGTTTAGAAGGGTCCCACCAGGACTCTCGTGTTAAATTTCATGCCTTCTTATGCCTCTGGACTACAACCATCAAGTGCAAAGCTTAACTTCAAATCCTGTCTTAAGCAATTAATTCATTTTTCTTTATTTTAAAACTCAAATTCTTGCAATGGGTGTTATATTAAAAAATAAGACTCATCTCTCATATACCTTAAAAGAGAAATAACTAGTTCAAGGTATCAGAACGCATATATGGATGGCTAATTTATTCCCAAAGCAAAAGAAACTCAGTCTCCATGGAGCAAAATGTCCACATCTTGCATGGGAATGGCTCTCCTCAGACCACCACAAAGTACAGAGAAAGAAAATCAGACCCAGTGGAACCACAATATTCACATATGAGATGGAGGATGTAGAAACACAAGGTTATTTTCAACAGAAAATGCAGTGTAGGTAGGAACAGCAATATCAGAAAGGGAAAACAAAGCAAAGAGTCAATGGTTATTCATTTTGGAGAGAGCAGAAGGTGGTAACAGCCCCTTGGGTAAAGGACCCCAAACCCATCAACTGACTGAAGTTAAACAAATGATCCCATCCTTTTCAAATCAGGTTGCAATAAAGATGCTTCGTGGCACAAAATCATATCCTTCTCCTTAGAAATGCCATCTGAATGTTCCAGCTCACTTTCCCCAGAGAGAGATTTACTCCTGAGGCTTTCTCTGTGAGCAACACGAGAGCAGTCATGTTGTTTGGACAGTCACAGATAACCTATATTTTGCCCACAGATTATAAACAGATATTTCTATTTCTAATTCTCCCTCCCTGCCCCTTCCCCCAAAATAGGTTATATTTTGATTTTAAAGGGGTAAGGTAAACCTACTCTTAAAATAGCAGGTTAGAACAGAGTTTGTTTTATAGAGCTGACTCCTGGCAAGGTACTGCTGAAAGTGCCCTTCCTTTGGGCATCTAAGGTATCTAAGAAAGAAGAAAACAACTTTCCCTCTCTGCCCATTATGGCATCTGCCTACGTTATGGCCTCCTGACAGCAGAGGGCTGGCTCTGGTCCATTTCCTGACCATCCGGTTCTTAATTATTTGGCTGCATGAGTCCTGCTGAGCACCATGTGCAAATGTGCACTAGGTCATGGACTCAGAATTGGGGTCTGGCCCAATCCTGATATTCCAGAAACATTTTTAGAAAGACAATATGCATAATACAGCCTTCAGCAAAGCCTGGCCAATGGTCACACTTCATTCCTGTGACAGCCAAGACCTTTCCAATGCAATCCAATAATACACAGTAGCATTCAAACAAGTGACGGGTTACAGAGAGAGATGTGTTACTGCTTATAGTGCTCAGCTGGGCTGACTTGGTTAAGGGCTGTCACGCTTTGTGTGCCAAAGTGTCTAGCCAACTCTGCAAGAAATCCCACAATGTTAGACAAGAGTACAGAACACGTTTCCACACCAAGGGGGGAAAAACCCAACCCTCACCCACACCATCCCTTATGTAAAGTCTCATTTCACTGGTTGTCCAGAAGTGAGAGCTGAGTTCATGTGAAACAAAGCTCCTCCACCTGATTTCACGCCCAGACTGTCAGCAAACCAGGCAAAAAATTGCTGAGATACTTGGAGAAGGGCTGCACACTGCAGTCATTCATCAGTTCAGGCTTTTCTCAATCCTCCCACCTCCCCCAAAGCATCTGCATCTGCTCCACCTGGAAAAGGAGACAACTACCATTGTACAGGAGATGGGAAAAAAGAAACCAAGGGGAATTGGCTCAGCTAGTAGACATGCTCCTGGATTTTGAGCTGATTGAACAAGACAGGGTCATGAAATTCAGGAAGGGAACCTGGAGACAGGGATGTTTGTGTCAGGAGCCACCTCTCCTGTGCTCCATGGGAGTGCTGATGTTGCAAGTGCAGTGTACCTAAGGCATCTACATGGGGCTGGTAGATACAGCACAACACATGTTGGAAAACCAGATCCTGATGGATTGGCAGCTGGCAGAGAGCAGATAGCAGCAGACCTTCAGTCAGGAATAAGCATGTAGGTTTAGGCACTGAAATCACAGCAATCAGCCAGGGTTGACCTCACCAAGGCAAACATTTGAGTTTAAACACCTCGATTTGAGAAACACCTCTCAACTCCCATCTGACTCAGCAGAGCCAAAGCAGGCAGAGGATCCTGCAGTGAGGCAGACACCTGCACCTGCTCCACTAAACTGCTCTCCAGGCTCCTACTGACTGTGCTGATCACATCTCCACTCACTAACAAGAGTCTGGGGACACAGCCCACACAGAGGCACCTCAGTTTAGGTTTGTTAACCTGTGAGCAGAATCCCACCCTTGGGGACAAACTCAGGTGTCTAAATATCAGCATCTAGCATTTGAAAACTGCTTTTCGCTACCAACTGTTCCTCCAGGAGGGTAAAAGTCTCTCAAAGGGTACTAATACATGTATTTGTGGAGATGACCCTATTTTGATGATCTGGGCTCAAACAGCAATGAACAAAGTTCCTAATGCCTCCCAGTCTGTTTTTTCCTGACTCACTTCTAACTCCTTGCTAAGCAGTGGCTGGGACAGCTTAGGTATCATACACTGGTGGACAAAAGCATAAAAGGACATTGTCCCCATTCTCATGAATGCACCAGTTCATGAAATCCAGCATGTGGATTTTCATATGGCCACTGTGCAAGTGTGGTGCATCCCAACCACCCCATAAACCTTCTCCTTGAAGGACCAGGAAGGGCTCAAGAATGTTATGAGGCAGCTAGAGTGAAAATCCTGGAAAAAAAATCTCTTCCCCAGGCACTCTCCCCTGCTGCTGTCAGTCACGATGCAGCTACTTGAGGTGATGTGTGACGGAGAACTGCTGCCTACAGGCCCCTAACCACCCACGAGCCAAAATGAATCTTGGCAAAGACCTTCTGTTTCTCGTCTCGCTCCCCAGCTTCCACAACGACCTTCCTCCTCTTGTTGCAAGCTCCTGTCAGAGACACTTAAATCCACCTCATTTCTTCAGGAAGCAGAGCAAGACTGATCCAAGTCAGCAGGTTGCTTGAAGCGGTGTTGGAGAAAGCTTTCCTGGCTGGGCTCTGAGACAAATGGGTGAATGTCTAGCTCACACTTTGAAATCTGGAGGGGCTTCCAGGATAAAGCAGTGTAGCTTTTATTACTGCAAAAGTCTAGGGTATGTGAGGCAGAATAAGACTTTAACACAAACTTCTAATTTCAAGAGCTTTAGTAGCTTCTGTTTTCTTTTCAAGGCACATTACAGTTCAGAGCCTGATTTACCTCCATCCTACATAGACCTGCACCTCTTCTGAACACACATGGCATCACCACTGAATAATCATTTCATCTACACCAAGGAAGTGGCCACATGCACACTTCTATCTTGTCACAGATGTGAGACAGTATGAATTAGATTAAATCCAAAGCACAAAGTTAAGTCATGCTCCCTATGGTCCAAACATCATAGCCACTACACAGCAGCAGACTTGTAGCAGCTCAGGAGTAAACACAATAAGGAGCATCCTTATTGTGTTATATGCTGTAGATGGCTTCTATCATGAAAGAAAAGTCAAACAAAGACAACTAGTGAGTCAGGGATAGCATCACATGTAAAAATCATATCCTTACACTCTGCTCTGAACAACCTGGTCTGGTAGTTTCACAAATAGAAGAGCAGTTTGGGAGAGAAAATCAAGGTCTTTGAGCAAATTAGTTTGACTTAGGGACACAATTCCCATTAACCAAATACTGATAAAGGCAAAATGAGGGAAGCATAAAGCAAGACAGTCATCTTTACTGGTGCTTGCTACTCAGAGGAAATTAGATAGTGCTGCTGGACCGTCTGCCCAAATGGCTTTACAAGAGCCATAGGGAAAAGGGATCACAGCAGAGGATTGCTATGCAACATGTAATCCTCCCTCACAACAATGGTTCGCTACGAAGCTCAGACTAAGTGCCCCCGTAATGATCAGTCTCAGACATGCTGCAACACACAATTTCTCAGTGTTTTAGCTGAAACGCCGAGGACAGATTCCCATTCATTCCCAGCTGGGTCACGGGGCTCTGGCAGTGGTTTTCAGACAACTCTTGTCTGGGCAGCAGCAGTCCGAAGCGGACACACAGCCGTGGGAATTCCTCGGTTAGAGCTCCACTGTCGTCATGGCTGGTCTACGGCTCCAAGGCTTCAAACCATTTGCTATGGTTTGGGGGAGAGAAGGGAGCAAATGAACCTTCCTCAGACTCAGCTCATCCACAAAAAAGCCTGCCCCTCATCTTGTCTTACTTCAGAAAGGGCTTTGGGATGCTTCTGCACAAAGCAAATCCTTTCCATCCTCTGTATACATACCCCTCTTCAATTTAAATAGGCTTAGTCATTCTCTCAGCTCAAGTATTAAAGTTTGTTTGGACAGCAACCATGGTCCCCACACAACTAGACAACCAGACTTGTCCCTTTACACTGGCCATTGCCATTGGCTGAGTTATGAATGTTCTACAGATTGTTAGCCTTTTCTTTTTCCTTCGCCTTTCCTTCTATCTTGTTAAAAAAAACTTCTGAGCCTGTTCTCAACCTGCTTTTTCAGAACAAATTTCTTTCCACTACCCTTCCATCTTTAAAACTATGAACACTCATATTTTAATGACCATGTATTAAAATACAAGCATCACAGCATAAAACATAACCCTACTTAACATTGAGAACTTCATCACTATTTCCCCACCCTCCCTAGTATTCCTAACATGCTTCACATGCTGAGAAAGTTCCACATAAACAACTAACTGCAATCACTTATGGGACACAGCAAGAAATTTTTTCCAGAGTATTGATTTCTAGGCCTTAGACTT